CAGTAACCAAGCATTTGGTAACGTTTTTACTAAAACCACCGCCACTGGAGCAGATTTCATTGACAGTGCGTTTCCAGAGATCTTTCTGTCCCATCCGTCTTTGAAATCAACATGCCTCAAAAGTTTTTCTCGAGGGCTATGACAAGTCTTTTTTCAAACCACGCCTGTGGAAAGTACTCAGTAGTGACGATGGGCCATAGTGCCATTGCTGATGCCCACGAGCGACGGCAACCACTTACCGTCAGAAGGACAGTATGTTCGACTGCCTACGCTAGCATAAAGAAGTATGCCACACATTGATGCGTGTACATTGTTGAAGAACCACTCGAAATGTGTGATTCAATTGTCTTATCGTATATGTTCAAACAATAGTTGTTATAGCACTAATTAGTGTTTATAGATTCATAAAAAATAAAATAATAATATTGTAATAAAACAAACACCTTTGTCGGTGATTGTATTTCTGCGAATTAACTGTTTAGGGTTCTTTATTGATTAATTATTATCGGTATTATTTTGTTTTCACCTGATTCGTTTTAAGCAAACTCATTTGCGATTCCGTACAAAGGCGGGTGACGTTTCTCTTTGCAATAAGGTCGATTATTGAAATCTCAGTTCTATTAGCGGACGATTCATTTTGATGTTTATATTTGGGTCGGTAGGAAATCGCCGTGGTTCCGTATATGTTTCGGGGGAGATCGGGCATGTCGGAATTGGATCGGCTGAAATTATGCGTCGGTCAACATCTCGCGTGTGGTCTTTGGATGAAGCCGAATTAACATGAGGCATGTTGAAGTAGGCGTATGGGTTTTATATATCCGCCGCCCGGCCTGTACCGGACCTCATACGACCTAGAGACCCCGATGGACGACTAGGGTCAGAACTAATATTGATTGAAGAGTGTGGTCATCCGTACCCAATTGCTCTTTCGCGAGTGTAGCTTACGCGTCATCTTCTTAGGTCCCCCTGCCGGTCCCCACATCAGCGTACAGAGGGGACAAGCGTGTAGAGGGGACCGGAAACACTTAGGGAGCCAGGATTCGGGCTCACCCGAAGTAAAGAGCGGTCCGTGGACATCAACTTCAATTCCAAGAATGATTTTTAATAATAATAAAAAGCGAGTGTTGTAACTTTTAATTAGGCTTGTTATGCTAGATCTTTTTTTAACTATAAAAATATAATTATGAGCGCTTAAAGTGGAAATTGAATGGATTCTGTCTCTTTCCCGCAAAACAAGCTCTAAAGTGGAAGTTATCTGGCGTTCGTGAACGTTGACGTCATCATACAAATTCGCTAACTGTTTTTGGCGCGAAATTGAACGCTTTTTCGTTTAGCAAAAAGTTACACGCGGTTCCTATTGTTTGTAAGTAAGCGTTGGAAACACAAGAAAGCCCATCAGCTGTCCTCCTCTAACGCGTAACGGCGTCTCGCTCTGTACGCACTTTCACTACTTCACCAAGGCTGGCCGTCTGTGAAGGAAATGGCCATTAAATTATTACCGATTCTGTTACGTTTTAATCGCGAATGGCGGCTCACGCGATAATCTAGCTACGGATGTTGCTTTAGTGACGACACACCTTATTAAACACCTCCCATAATTATATATCGAGGGGTGAAAGGCCATTTGGTTTAAGCGAACTTTTTTGCAACTTCACAGGAGAGCCATTTAGAGTTTAAACATTTGAAAAAAATATCATAACAAAAAAAAAACAAGCTATTTGAATGGAGTAAACGTATTTGAAACTAGTGGACCCGGCGAACTTTGTTCCGCCACACGGTTTGTTTCAAACACACTAGCGAGCCGCCCTCGCTTCGCTTCGGAAACATTAAAACACACATGAAACCAAAAAATAAAAATAAAAAAAAAATTAAAAAAAGTAGCCTATGTTCATCAGGGACAATGTCGGCTTCTAATGGAAAAAGAATTTTTCAAATCGGTCCAGTAGTTTCGGAGCCTATTCGAAACAAACAAACAAACAAATCTTTCCTCTTTATAATATTAGTTATTTCAAACACATCAACCGGTCAACTTCAAAATTCTACTATAATTAACCATAGAATATATTACGTTTAGCTGTCAGTTGCGTTTTGTTATTCCATATCAGTTGCCTTCTGTTATACCACGTTTCATGTCGCGTCCCACGGGAACGTGATAAAAAGTCTATCCTATGTCCTTCTCCTGGTTTTATGCTACCTCCTCACCAATTTTAGGCCAAATCAGTTCAGCCGTTCCTGAGTTATAAATAGTGTAACTAACACGACTTTCTTTTATATATATAGAAGATTTGATTAAAAACCATCGAATTGTTGATGCTGATACCACGCACGCTGATAAAACGGAACATTAATAAATAAATAAAATGTCGCGTATTAAGCAAAATTAAGCGAATACTAATACATACATTTATATTTATTATTTTTTTAAAAACTTTGTAAAAGCAAGAAATAAATGGCTTATTATTATTATTATTATTATTAAGCGAAATGTCGCTCAAAATAGCCTTTCAGCTCTCGATATATATATATTTATATATACATATTATGTACGTATATCTTCCATCCATCTAAACATTAAAAAATATATATAATAATTTATTTCAAAGAAAAAAAAACTCGTCTTCACGGCAAGCTCTACTTTTTTTAATTCTCGTGACCCGGTTGAGTCCCCATAACCCCCTATAACCCCTATTGGGCTACCGGAGCCCATACTCATCTAAATGTGCCACCTACCTTGAAATATTAGTTCTAAGCTCTCAGTTTTTACATTACAACGGCTGCCCCGCCCTTCAAACCGAAACGCATTACTGCTTCACGGCAGAAATAGGCAGGGCGGTGGTACCTACCCGTGCGGATTCCCTAGACGTCCTGCCGCCAGTTATTAGGCAAATTATAATTTTGCGGGTTTGATTTTTATTACACGATGTTATTCCTTTACCGTCACCTAACAATGTCCTAAGCGAGATTCAGGCATCTATCAGTTGTCTTGTGTTCTATGATGGCTACCCGCCACAGTAATATTAATGCTAGATGAATTGCGCCTTCGATGTGGAACCACGTGACTGGCTCCTAGCCACGACAATGATAAGTCATTTCTAATTCGCCAGCGCTCTATCGAAGCGAATCTTATCTTTAACCATTTGACTGCCGTGTAGGTCACCGGTGCCCTACGCGGCGCACTGAAGTAATTATGTCGATTTCTCTATTCGATCTTCTTCTTACTAAGGCGCCGGAATATCTAGTCGAATCTGGGAAAGACGAAGATACTGAAAATGAATCTATTTCTAAAATAGGTACTTATAAGACTAAAGCATACGTTAACAAACAAAAGAAAGCAAAGTTAGGCAATCCCTCACAGACACAGCCCACTGAGTTTCTCACCGGATCTTCTCAGTGGGTCGCGTTTCCGATCCGGTGGTAGATTCTGCGAAGCACTGCTCTTGCTAGGGTCAGTGTTAGCAACGTCGTCAGGCTTGAGCCCCGTGAGTTCACCTACTTGTTAGGTTACGCTGACAAAGCCTCTCAAGGCTTGTCAGGTTAGGTAGGAAAAAAGACAATCTCGGCGCTTAGTAACAGAAATTGACATAATTACTTCAGTGCACCGCGTAGGGCACCCGTGACCTACAAGGCAATCAATGTGTTAATTTTGTTCAACAGTAATTGAGTTACTTGATCGTAGTGAATCGATATCTGATTGGATTAAATTTGATAAGAACAGTGATTACGTGGAAACTAATTGTTCTGTACTATACGACTCCGTGTTAGGATTCTTTTGATTAGATTCTCTTAGGGTAGGTGCATGTTGCGTTATGAAGCGTGGTGGCAATAAGGCGGATTCACATAACGTCCCACAAAACAGACGTGATGCAAATAAAATAAAATAAAATAAAAATCGACTTGGTTCTTTATTACACGATGTTATCCCTTCATATTTAGTCGTTTGTGAATATATAATAGGTATTAAGGTTTTATTATTATTATTTTTTGCATAGATGGGTGGAAGAGCTCACAGCGGTGTTATGTGGTTACCGGAGCCCATAGACGTTGTGGATACAACGTAAATGCCGCCACCCACCTTGAGATAAGAGAGTTCTAAGCTCTCAGTATAGTTACAACGGCTGCCCCACCATTCAAACCGAAACGCATTACTGCTTTACGGCAGAAATAGGCAGGATGGTGATACCTCTACCCGTGCGGACTCACAAGAAGTCCTACCACCAGTAATTGCGCAAATTATAATTTTGCTGCTTTGGGTTTTATTACACGATGCTATTTCTGTAAATGTAGTTAACCACATAGATTATCTACATTTTTCATCCTTAAAACAAAATTCTCTTGTAATAGGGATGTGTGTATATGAGAAACGTCCTAGCTGGTTTGGTCCTTTCTCTCTCTCAACTGTCGAGTGGTTCGCGAGACGCTCTGTCTATTTTCTCACTCACTCTCTTCCTAAATTGTATCTTTTCTCTTTAGTCATAACGAATCTGTCGCGAGTTAAATTTTACTCTCAACGCGCCTAAAGAAGTTTAACTTAAAAAAAAAACTCTCAGCGGTATTCGAACACCGGCGCAGTCGCATAATTCGATACAAGTGCAGCGTCTTTCTTATCTTTTAGGCCGCGACGACTTAGTAAGTTTGAATAAAGGGAATGTCGATTACCGCGTTTTGTAAGCCAGCCATTTCGGGCTGTCGTTCGAGCAAGCGAGAACAAAATAAGTGTTAGCAAGCAACGAAGATGCTCAAATCGTCCGTTCATTATTCCAACTAGATGATGACCGAGCTTTACTCGGTTTTTTTTTGATAACGCCATCTTGTTGTGTCTTTAAAGCGGTTAGTTGCCCTCAATAGAAAAATAGTATTATAATCCGCCAATAGATGTCGGGAAGAGTTTATATAGAGATTATTGAAAACACGAATAAAACAACATTTTCTGAAAATAGGTATAAGATAGAAGAGTCCTTTATTTTGAATTCAGAACACAAATAATCTTTATGTATTCAAAGTTACATGTAAATGTGATCGACGTTAGAATGAGACAAAGCTATTGATTTTGTGTTGTGCGCGAAAGTGACAAGATGATGTCGCGCAGTATTAAATATCAGCGTCTCGACGACGTTGAAGAGACTGGGTAAGTTTTTTTTATTATTATTCAAAATTTGGTTCTTTAGCGTCGGCCAAAATAGTCAGCCCCATTTTTTCCAGGAGATGTCGTACAAGACTAGTGTCGTCGGAGTCTGGACAGAAGTATTTTCTGGGACACCATATCAATGTGCTTAGTGCGAGTTTTTTAACGTTCTCGATACCGTAAAAGTTAGCTCATGTTTGTGTGGAATGGGATCGTTTGCCTACGTTTGCCGCTAGGGGCGCTGTTCCAACTGCATACATATTTGAGTTAACTTTAACTAAGCACACAGCTTACTTATATCGAGTATTTATGCTACGACAACTATGGGATTTACCACTATTTAACGACCAGGTGGCACTGTAAGCTAGTCCGATCACCATCCGAGCGAGTATAACCATCCATTAGGTTTTATGGTAACTAGCTAAAATTAAAATTTGTTTTATGTATGCTGTTCAACATCCTCAATAACCCAGCTGTTCCCCAGTACCTCCGTGAGCGCTTCGGGTACCAGATGCCCCGTGGTGTACCCTGTCGTACAAGTAGATCCCTTCTCCTTAATTTTCCCCCTCACTCCTCCAGCCGCTACGGTGGTTCGTTCACTGTGCACTCTGTGCGTCTGTGGAACTCAGTTCCACACTCAATCCGTGCAAGTCCCTCACTTGAAGTATTCAGGAAGGCATTAAAGAAGCACTATCTATCAATTTAGTATTACTTATATGTATTTATTTTATGTATTTCATTATATATGTACGTGTATGTAAATGTTTATGTTATTTATGTGTGTAATTGTGTATGTATATAGTTTGATATTATGTATTAGTGTTTATTTTTGTTATTTTTATTGCTAATTAGATTGTACTCATCTACCCACTAATGTAAAGCTTTCCTTCTTTGAGAACGGTTAGCTGGTAGATAACTCAATTGTTGAGTTAAGCTCGTCATTTTTTATATCTTATCCCAATTACTGTATTTTATTAACAGTGTGTACAAATAAAGAATAAAGTAAAATTAACGTAGATGCTTACCGTCAAGAGACTAGCCATAAAAAGTTTAAGCGAAGTTTTCTTTATGGCGCATTTTAGGATGAGCCCAGCAGTTCTAAATGAAAGTCTTTACTAACTTACAACTTATATATTTACGGAAAATACAATAGGTACATACCGTTTTATTATAGCTATCTAAGTGCAACTGTGTTCGCTGTATGACCGTTACAGCTGGACTGTCGCCCCAATATCCTTTTCCCACAAGCGTGGAATGGTGAAGATGACACCTTGCATTACGTAGCCAGGTAACACGCCACGTACGTTATTAAGCATGTGTGTGTGACCCTACACGCATCAATGGTAAAAAATAGCTAGGACCAACACGAATCAAAATAAACATTAATAAAATATAAATATACTAATAAATAAATAAAACATCCTTTATAGCGAAGACGTCATACATCCAATAAGGCGGGCGCGAGAGAAATACGTAATGAAATATCGGGGCCGTGTTGAAATGCGAGGAATTTGTCGTCCAGCAATAATATAGACCCTGGCGTATCCAGGTCACTTTTCGCAGTGAATGTCAATTAGTAATATGAATTTGAGGCGGCAGATGAACCCACACCAAGCAGACACCAAAGAAGAAGGAGATCCATACGCGGAAATAGCATTGGATTGGTCACATATTGAGAAAGCTCGATAGCCCATCTATCAAGAGAACACTGACCTGTAAAGTGTCTGGCAAAAGGAAAAGAGGCCGCCCCTGAACAACTTGGTGTCGCACGGTGGAGCAGGAGCTAGGTGTCTTGGGCATGACGTGGGAGGAGCTAGAACAGACTGCCCAAGACCGATGTTTTTTTTTTATTCCTACCTAAGCTGATCTACTTAGCCTTGAGGGCTATTTCAGCGTAACCGTGGCTCGTAGGTGAGCTCACGGGGCTCAAACCTGACGACGATGCTAACACGAACCCTAACAAGAGCCATGCTTCGCAGAATCTACCGGATCGAAAACGCGACCCACTGAGAAGATCCGGCGAGAAACTCAGTGGGCTGTGTCTGAGAGTTAATTTACTCGTCGAGCCCTTCGTCGCAAGCGACGGGTTCGACGAGAACGGTGACCGGTGCTTGAAGTACCTAAAAGCACTGTTAGTGGATCGGGAAGATCCGAGATGACGTGTTTTGGGCGACGTCGACTGCTTTCCATTCTGTCCGCAGGATCGGGAATGTAGTTACCGGCAGCTACGATGAGAGGGTTCTCGTGTCGTGCCGCTTTATCGAAGTGGAGACCGATGTAAATGGAAGGATTCGATTCGTGCCCAGCAGAGGGTAATAGAAAAAGTTTGATGATGATGAGATGGACCTTTTGTGGATGCATATCATTGAGTAAGATACAGTATTGTGCCAATTATTTGTGTAAATGTTTATATCGAGGAATATTTGAGAAACATTTACGGTTTAACCATTTAGATAAATATCATGATAAAAAACTTCTTCAGATATTTAGATGGGGTAAATTGATGTTCAATTAAAAACATCGAACTGCTGATGCCAATACCAAATGAAATGATCTTTGATTACAAATATAAATGTCGCCTAAATGAAATAGCCTTTCAACCCACAGTATCATTTAAACATAGCGATAGAATATAGATATTACGGTTACAGATGTAAAAAAATCTACCCACAAATAACCGTAAACACGTAAGAACATACAAAATCTGAACTCCTCCTTTTTTGATGTCGGCAAATACACTTAAAATGCTTTATCTCTGTCTCTTTCGTTATCATTCTAACTACGATGCATTCGTAATAGCTCTCTGAGCCCTCAAGTGCTTTTAATCAGATTCTAAATGACTTTCAAACGCCCTGTATGTCGGTGACGTCACAATCGAATATGGCGGTGCGAAATTCCCGCGTAACCAAGATGGTGGACGTGTTTGAGTGTTAGGAATTTCTCATTACTATTGTAGAATGTGGTCTAGTCCATTATTCATCTAAAAACTTCTAGTCCATTATTCATTTAAAAACTTTTCATCTAAGGTCTCTTAGTGAAACTTTCTTAACTATATTGTGTTTTATTTATTTTATATTCACTATATTCACAGTCTATTCAATATCATACTTCTCCGTCTGCGTAATTTTCGTAAAAAGTAGTACAAAGTTTTTGCTTCATGTATTAATATATAGATATTTATTTACAAATCAACAAAGCGCTGCACTTGCTGTAATATTTTCTAGAGTCTAGAATATCCTTGGTTGACTGGCTGCAATTGTATTAGGCATTAAGTTTGTCATTGTAATCTTTCGACTTGGCTGTACTACCGGCAAACCCGTTGAGCTTCTCCCCGGATCTATATACGTTTTAATACAAGGGCGGGATGATAAGTAACTAGCCTAACAATAAAACAAACTTTTCGTGATAAAATTAATTTTATTTTTCGACATAGTCTCCATGAACTTCTACGCACTTATTCCATCTTCGTTCTAAAGCAGTAATGCCTTCAATAAAATGATTTCTTTCGAGGCCTGCAAAATACTCCTCTACAGCGCCTATGACTTCATCATTTGTGGCAAATTTCTGTCCACCCAAAAAAGTTTTGAGCTTAGGGAATAAGTGGAAGTCTGATGGCGCTATATCAGGTGAATAAGGTGGGTGGGACAGCAAATCATACTTCAATTCGTTGATTTTTGCCATAGCTTTAACACATGTGCGAACCCTAGCGTTGTCTTGGGGGAACATGATTTTTTTTTCGCCAAATCTGGTTGTTTTTGCTGAATACACTGATGAAAGTTATATAGAAGATTAGCGTAGTATTCTCCATTAATCGTTTGACCTTTAGGAAGATAATCTATCATCAAGATCCCATCTGCATCCCAAAAGACGAAAGTCATCACTTTGCCAGCCGACTTTACAGCCATGGCTTTTTTGGAGCCGGGCATCGCGATTGCGTCCACTGTTTTGAATGAATGAACCCATGTTTCATCTGTTGTTATAAATCGACGTAAAAAATCGGCATTATTACTCTGAAACGGTCCAGACATTCTTTTGACTTTTTCACCCGAATCCTCTTTTGATCGTGCGTATGCAATCGCGGCACCCAACGGGCCGATGACTTTTTCATATTTAATTACTCACTTAGGATATGATGTACCCGGTCTTTTGAGATACCTGTAGTATCAGCTGTTTCAGATAACTTCAGTCGTCGATCTGTTAAAACCATATCATGTACTTTCACGACCATTTCCGGAGTCGTGACGCTTTTTGGACGTCCGGGGCGGGTTTCATCTTGGACACATGTACGACCGCGTTTAAACTCAGCCACCCAGATTTTTACTGTGGTATAAGAAGGAGCACATTCACCCTAAGCATTATTTAACTCGTCATAGATATCCCCTTCATGCCCTTCATATGAAGAAACTTTATCCCCGCTCTTTGTTCAATTTTATCCATTTTGAAAACACTTGCGAAATATATTTTCAAATGACAAAAATCAATAAAATTTTCACGGCACCAAATTCAAATTTAGAACACAGGTAGCCAGAGATACGAATTTAAAAATGACATATATTTTTTTTTAATTTTAACTTTTTAAATAGTAGAGGCTAGTTACTTATCATCCCGCCCTCGTATATACATATACATATAGATAATAAACATCCAGACAAAGAGCAAACAAACTTGTTCATCACACGAATTTTTGCTCGACTTAGGAATCGATCGACTTGGGCCGCTAATTACGGCACTACCGAATCAGTTATATATATTTTTATAAATAAAATGTAATAGTTTTATAATTTCGCATTTATCTGCATTCAACGTGTTCTTACTACAGTCTTCATACTTAATGAGCTCCTAATATTAAATTATAATTAGAATGAAAGCCCACTGAGTTTCTCGCCGGATCTTCTCAGTGGGTCGCGATTCCGATCCACTGGTAGTTTCTGCGAAGCACTACTCTTGCTAGGGCTAATGTTAGTAAATTCTCTCTGGTTGTGCCTGTGAGCTCTCCAACCGGC